CTGGTAGTCTTTTATTTGGGAAACTATTTTTCTATGGGCTTGATTTTCCTGTCCTCATCCCACATGCTATAGGACTTTGTAATTGAGAAGTATTAGATGGTGCAATTTTGGACTTTTTATCCATTTGTTACTATCCCTGGTCCCGTGGCAACCTAGTTAACTCTGCCTTTGCAGAGCTGCTCAATGACATGACATTTCCATCTGCCTTAGCCTTTGCACCAAATAGATGGCACCTGCCTCTTGCAGATTCTTGTTTCCCTCTGTGCTACACTCTCCAAACTCAAACATGCTGTTGGAGAAATCAAACCATAGGAGTTTAAGGAAATTCTGGGGCACAAAGGGGACTGAAGCATTAGGAAGTCTTGGAATATCATTTCCTGTTCTATCCTACATCCTCTCTCTCTCTCTATTTCCTGCCAATGTTTATAGAGGGTGGTCTTCATGTACAACGTATCAAAGGACAAATATTCAAGTACAGTGGAAGAAAGGATGACTGAGGTAAGAAACAACCCCAAATGGCTCACCCAATGCCATGTAATATATCTACCACTCCAATAACTTAGCCTGAGAAATGGATCCTATCGGTTGGCAATAGAGTGAACCCAATACCGTGGCTACCCAGACAAAGGAGTCACTAGGTCACACTAAGGACCTAAGACTGTTCCTCAGCAGGGAGAAGTTTGCTAAGAAGTTAGCTGGGGTTTGTTTTGTGGTGTTTGAGTTGCTGTATATGCCACCTAACAGCTCTGGGGAAATAGGATGATGAGGTATAAAATAATGGGTAAACTCAGTTCTTCAACACATTGCACCAAATCATCCAATTGGTAGAAAAAATATGGCACCACATGAGACACCTTATAGGTGGCAGGGACAATAGTGGCATTTCCAGTGGCAATTCTTTCAAAGGACGCTCTCCCATTCCAGTCCCTCTCCCCTTTCCTGTACCTCTTTGCGCTAGCTCCGAGAACCTCTACCAGGCAGGATGTACACTGCTGAAAGGCTGTTGATAACCAAACCCTTCTCAAAGCTGAGTCCTGCAGCCCTGTGTGCATTAAAGACTCTTCATCACGGGGATGCCCCGTGGCGAGCAGCTCTTGGGGGTGTCGGTAGGGGTGAGTGTGTGCATCACCCCCAATCCTGTGCCTCCCATTGGAGGAATAGTGTGTGCCCCCCTTGGCGGGAAAAGAGCCGGCACTCTGCTTGGACATTTCCTTTCTCCTCTGGGTCACTCATCTCTTGTTATGCTCTCATCCATGGCAGGCAGGGCCTCCAAGCTCAACCCCCTGCTGGCAGTCCCCTCACTGCTGTGCACGCTTGAGAAGGACACCATGGTGTGGAGAAGCATAAGGACCAGGACGCACAGTCTGATTTTGCTGTTGCTGAGGCGAGACCCTGCGGAGACAGGCAGCAAAGATGGTGGGTGGGGTTGGTGGTACTGGTGGTGGTGGTGGTGGTGGTGGTAAAGGTGATAGTGGTGCTGGTGATGAAGGTGAGGGTCATGACGGTGGGAATGGAATGACTCCGATGCTGTGGATTTGGGTGATGTATTGTAGTTGCTGTCTGGTGGGTGGTCACAAGTGTCCCATTGCACATCGCAGCACTTTGCTTCCTCGTTGGATAACTGGTTCTCTAGCAACCCTGGCAAAACATAACAACAGATGGTGAGAATCAGTGAAAGTGCAGCGGAAGTCCAATAGAGAGTAAAGCCATAGGGCCTGCCAGAAAATCCACCTGCAGTAGGAAAAAAGGGTTTCAGTTCTGGTTGGCTGCCTTCTCTTGAACAACTTTTAGCCAAAGGACTGGGATCCTGAGCTCCTTTGTCTGGGCAGATTTTCTCTGGGACTGAGACTGTAGGCCACATTCCCCCAGAGAAAAAGCAGCCATGATCCAGGTCTTCTTAATCCAAGGAACAAGTGTTATTTTGGGACAAAGCTGTGCGCACCTGAAGCTATGTATTTATCAGATCTCATAGAATCAGACAAGATTCTTTCATGGAGGGGAGAACAGCCAGGAAAAGCTAGTGTAATGGTAGGTGGCAGGATGGAAAGTTTATACTGTTCCTACCTATGCTGTTATCTGTTGTATGGAGGGATAAATAGAAGATTTCAGCCTCTGAGGACCTGTTATCAATACTAAATAAACTTAAAAAAAGGAAATCCTCTGCTAGGTTTTTTAGCAATTAGTGTCAATGAGCTGGTCAAACTTTAATCCTGTCACCATCTGTCTCACTAACTAGCCCCTTTTAAGTTTCATTTAGAGGTAGGACTCTTTTTCTCTTCCTGCCCTAAACTGTTAGGTATTGTTGCCATGTGGCTGTTAAAAAGCTGTATTTCACCTCAAAAGGGTAATATCTTGATAATCAATAATGTGTTTCATGTGTATATATATGACCAAATCCCGAAGTCCTTAAAAAGATGCAAAAAGACTTGAAGATCTGGCCCATGGTTTGTACAGTGCTGTAGGAGTGTTCAGGGTGAAAGGCTCTAGAAATGGAACTTACTACTTGAACATGAGTTGAAAGTCCTCCCCATCCACCTCATATATTTGCCTGCCTGTCCTTTTGTATTTCCTCCGTATCCTGAAATATACAATGGGCAGTAGACAAGACATCATTATGAAGACACCTGTCCTACTTCAATGACTTTCTTACCCGTACAGATGAAACCAGGTAACCCTCCATAGATCAGCTCATCATTGTCAGGTAACACAAAGGGGCACCTGGTCTGCACCTCCAGGCAGTATTGCTTGCATGGAATCCGTTGTCGGCACTGTTGTTGTGTCACATTGAAATACTCGGAGCACAGCCAAGCCTTGTAGACAGCCTAAGAGTGAGAACAACATATCATAAGACACATTGTCACATCAGCAAAATCACGTATATTAAAACCACTTCATAATCTTGGGGCTTAGTGCAATTTAAGGGCAGACGAATGGTGAAACTCTTACCTCACTGTTTAATCTCAATAAATATTTGTTAATATATCAGGGGGTATGTCTACACTACCCGCTAGTTCGAACTAGCGGGGTAGTGTAGACATACCCCCGAACTAGCGGGGTAATGTAGGCATACCGCACTTGCAAATGAAGCCCGGGATTTGAATTTCCCGGGCTTCATTTGCATAAGCGGGGCTCCGCCATTTTTAAATCCCCGCTCGTTCGAACCCTGTGCCGCGCGGCTACACGCGTCACAAACTAGGAAGCCTAGTTCGAACTACCGTTACTCCTCGTGGAGTAGACATACCCAGGGTTACTTATTGAATTAACTGTTTCATTTAGAGCAAACTGAAAGATGTTAGTGTGAAATTAAACCCACAACCTAAAACTTCTACAAGAGTGAAAAGAATGAACACATAGGCTATTGTCCTTTACTGGAATATCCTTAGATATCATACACAGAAGGGTTAATGACATTGTCAGAGTTGGTAGGCCCAACATTTTAGGTAGCCTGAGGTGGAGTCTTGTTTGCGAAATTCATGATATTGTTTTCTCTTTAAAAATAACTGTTGAAGTACTTTTTTCCGCTTGTGACCCTCAACCATAAGCAACCTGACAAACAACAAAACAACATTGGTAGCTTGCTTCCTGGTAAGTATCCCTACAATAAAGAGCTATATTATGCAGCTCAACTTTAATAAGAACCTCCACAACAGCTAACTAGCACTGGCAGCCAGTATAATAAGCCAAGGTATGAAATCTACCCCTTGTGAACAGCCTCACAACAAACATCGGTTGACAGAGGCATTAAAGACACACACAATTATGAATCAAAATAGTATCCCCAGTGACATTACCTAAACCAAAATTAGAGGGCTCTTGAATCTAACACTTCAGGATGTAAAATGCTTACCAGCTGGAATCAGGAAGGAATTTACCTCTGGGAATACTGCACAATAAGCTCTGGTCTACGGTAGGGAGTTATTTCAAAATAAACTCCCTTTATTTTGAAATAACAAGTGGATCAGCCACACTATCAAGCACGTTATTTTGAAATAAGGGGCAGGTTATTTTGAAATAATACCTCCTGCTTTCATGAGGAATAACGTTAATATTGAAATAACTATTTCAAAATAGTGGAAGTATGGATGCTCAGGTGCCGCTAATTTGAAATAACTACTCTCCAGAGTAATTCAGACTAATTACTCCCCAGTACTTCTTGAGCTCTAAATTGAAGTAGAACATCCACATTAACGGAGCCTGCCTCAGACTAATTTTGAGGCTTCCCTGTAGTGTGGACACACTATTTCGAAATTATTACTTTGGGAGTTAGTATTTGGAAATAAGCTATTTTGAAATAATTTCCTAGTGTAGATATGCCCAAAGAGTCTTTCTAAATATGTTACACCTTCCTGTGAAGTGTCCAGCACTGGTTAGTGCTAGAGATTTTGCTTGATGGAACTTTGAAATAGGGATGTAAGCGACTAGAGTCTACTAGTTATAATCATATGCTTATCAGATAGCTGACTAGTGACTCTACTAGTCGCTTCGGCCCCCTTGCTGCCTCTGTTAGAGAGAGGCAAAGGAGGGGGGGGGGCAGCGGAAGTCAGTGCTTAAAAGCTGGTTCTCCCAAGCACCATCTCCATGGGGCAGAGGGGGAGGACAAGGGCGCCACTGGGAACTGGTGGTGCTTTCACCGTTGAAATGTAGCAAGAGTCCTGGTGGCCCCATGCTCCCCATGCAGTTTGCTTTTGAAATGTACAGGAGACCCCCAGGTGCCCACGGGTCTCTTGTACATTTGAAAAGCAGGGAGCACAGGACCAGTGAGAGACTGCTTGAGTCACATGCTCCCGGCAGAGCTTCGGCCTTTGAAATGTAGCAAGAGCCGGCGGGGCTCTTGATACATTTCAAAGGCGGAGGCTCCTTTATCAACTAATCGAATAGTTGATGCAAATTCCATAGACTATTCAATTAGTTGATTAATCTAAATTTAACATCCCTACTTTGGAACAGTCTAGTCTGACAATACCATGTGCAACAGCTGGAAAATCTACACTTGTTCTAGCTAGTGGGGAGTCTCATGGATATTACCCATCCTGCCTTACATTATATTCTGAACTAAGTTAATAAGAGGTAGCTCATTGTTAGCTAGAATTGCTGCTTCCTCTTCTGCTTCATTGTTAAATCTATTTCATATTCGACATCCTTTTATCTGTTGCTCAGGTGGGAGCCTTCATTCATATTAAACATCCCATTTTTCTTGGTTTAGATAGGCATATATATCTCAGGTCCAGGCTTGCTGGTACAGAGGGGTGCGAAGGGGGAAGTTGCCCCAGGGCCCTGTGATTCAAAGGGGCCCAGGGCTCTCAGCAGTGGCTGGAGCCCTGGGCTCTTTAAATTGCCGCTGGAGAGCCACGTTGCACACTCAAGGTGGCTCTGAGGGCTGGGAGAGTTATGTTACGCTCTGGGCAGTGCCCAATGCCTCACCTCTTCCAGGAGCATGGACCCCACACACTGTCGGTGCCCCTGTGGGCAACATGCATTTCATAGATGTATTGGAATGGCTACCAGGTACCAAATAATGCTTTGTCTAGTGTTACAATTTTTCCTAAATGCCCTAAAACAAAGATTTTACACTCATCTTTTAGCTGGTTAGAGCTACACTTTGAAAATCTCTCAGAATCAAAGGCTAACTTGTTTGTAGCGTGTAACAAAGGCTCTGCATATGCCTGTCTCAACATTCATATTCCGTGTGCCATGAACTCTGGCTTTGAAGTTTGTCAGGCTTATCAATAGCAGCACCTCCTCTAGGGCAAAAAGCATAGGCTCGGGTTGGGCAATAATTTTTGCCCAGGGGCCACTTCAAAATTTTTTGAAGTAGCCCCAGACCACCCTGGAAGGGGTGGGGCCTAAACAGGAAGGCTATCCCACCCCCAGACCATGATAGGTCTGGGGGTGGAGGAGCCCTTTGCCCCCACTTCCCACTAGGCACCCTGGAAGAGGCTTGGCATACTCCCTCACCCTCAGGCCAATCAGGGCCTGGGGTGAGGGAGCGCGTGAAGCCTCCTCCCGCCCTGCGAGGAGCATGTGGCACTTTGAAGTGCCGTGGCTCCTCACAGGGCCATGGCAGGGCGAAGGAAGCTTCACACAGCTACCCCGCCCCCAGGCCCTGATTGGCCTGGGGGCAGGAGAGCGCACAAAGCCTTCTCCACTCTCCCCCACCCCCGCCCTATAAGCAGCATGTGGCGCTTCAAAGTGCCATATGCTCCTGGCAGGGTGGGAGGAGCTTCGCGTGCTCCCCTGCCCCCAGGCCCTGATTGGTCTGGGGGCGAGGAGCAGCAGGGCCTCCATGGGCCAGATCCAGCCCACCGTGGACCAGATCCGTCCACTTGGTGGGCTGGATCCGGCCCGCAGAGGCCCCTTTTCCCAACCCTAGCATAGACAAAGCCTACTTGCCCCCAAAAGAGACAAAACCATGCAGTGGTGGGGGAGAGGAAATACCTCTCAAGAACTGGCTAATGGAAATGCCCATCCCCACCAGAGAAAATAGCGTTATAGTTTCTAAGACCAGAAAGGACCATTTTGATAATCTAGTCTGACATCCTGGATAGTACTGGCCATAGAACATAATTCCTAGACCAGATATTTTAGTAAAACATCCAATCTTGATTTAAAAATTGTCAGTGATGGAAAATTCATCATGGACCTTGATCAATTGTTCAAATAATTTGTTAATAAAGCTTTCTTCTTTGTGGGATAGCAGGGTGGGCTGGTCTCTGTCCTCATTATGTTTCACAGTTTGCTCTTTGCAATTGCTTTTTTCCCACTACCTTCAGTAGTCTGGTCTGCAATTTGAACCCGAAAACTAGATATTTCCCTCTAAAGCCCCAGCTCACTTGTCTAATTACTCACTTCGCTACATCCCCATCTCCAATATGCACTCACATAGTAAGTGGAAAATGGTGGAAAAGTTTATTGGAAAGAGAGATCCCATGACTTACACAGAATATAGTCAATTTCCCATTTTTCATGAAATTTATGATAACTGCAAGAAAATAGACCTGCAGTGCAGTGCACATATCGCTGTGTATTTGGGGTAGTATCTAGGCACCAGATACAAAATTTAGAGGTGTATTAAGGGCTACATCCAACACCTATTGAAGTCTAACAAATGATTCTCACATAATTCAATAGAAATTAGGTAAATCTTTGACTGTGCCTGAAATGTCAATTGCTCTTTTACATTCAGTTGCCTTACTTGAAATTTTACAAGAATTTTGTATTCCTTTGACAGCCTTCATTTGTACAGAGAACATTGTTATTCGCATACCTCCGACCCTGAGCCCTGAGCTTACAATGGGCATCCTGGTTCAGACCAAAGGTCCATCTAGCCCAGTAGCCTGTCTGCTGTCTGCTGACAGCGGCCAACCCTAGGCATCCTAGAGGGGATGGACCGAAGACAGTGACCAAGCCATTTGTCTCGTGCCATCCCTCTCCAGCCTTCCACAAACCTTGGGCAGGGACACCACTCCTACCCCCTGGCTAATACCACTCCATGGACCCAACCTCCATGACTTGATCTCACTTCCCTTTAAACTCTGTTCTAGTTGTAGCCTTCACAGCCTCCTGCAGCAAGGAGTTCCACAGGTTGACTATTTGCTTTGTGAAGAATAACTTTCTGTTATTAGTCTGAAGCCTGCTATGCATTCATTTCATTTGGTGTCCTCTAGTCCTGCTATTATGGGAACTAAGGAAGAACTTTTCTTTATTCACCCTCTCCACACCGCTCATGCTTTTATAGACCTCTATCATATCCCCCCTCCGTCTCCTCTTTTCTAAGCTGAAAAGTCCCAGTCTCTTTAGCCTCTCTTCATATG